CTCCTGTGGTCTTGTTCACCCCTGATGCTGGACTTTCCACACTACTTTGTGTCTTGTTCACCCTGATGCTGGAACTACAACCTCCCTCCTGTGTGGTCTTGTTCTCCCTGATGCTGAACCTACACTCTCCTTTGTGTGGTCTTGTTCACCTGATGCTGGACCTACACCCTCCCTCCTGTGTCGTCTGTTCACCCTGATGCTGGACCCCTACACCTCCTCCTGTGGTCTTGTTCACCCTGGATGCTGGACCTACACGTGGTGGTGGGGGCAGGCGTGATGGCGCAGGTGGGTGGGGGTGCAGACGTGACAGGACGCGGTGTTGCGGCGGTGAAGTGGTTGCAGAGATGGCGGCATTGCGCGGTGGAGGCGTAACAGCGGTGATGGGTGGCGGGTCAGCGGATGCGGCGGATATGTATCGCTGGGGAAGCAGGCGGTGGGCGGCGTGTGATTGGGCGTTGAAGGGATATGCGCTGGTGCGGTCAGGTATCAGTGGCGGATAGCGGCGGCGTGATGGTGGTGGTGGCGGTAAGAGTGGGTGGTGGGGATGCATGACAGGAAGCGCGGCGTGGTCGGTGGTAAGCAGTGGGCCTGGTGATGGTGGTGGGGGAAAGTGACGGTGACAATGGGTACTGGCATTGCAGGGGCAGTGGTGGTGCGGGGGGCAGGTGATGGTATATCAATGGTGTGGTGGCTGCGATGGCGATCGGTGGTGGTGACAGCTGCAGCGGGGAAGCTGGTAAATGCGGCCCAGGGGGCGGCGGGCGCTGTTATGTAATGATGAAATGTATCGCGGTATCAGTGGCGGTGGCTATCTGCGGCAGGAGCCGGCAGTGGGAAGCTGCAGTGGCGGGAAGGCGTACTGCGGCGGCAGCAGGTGCGGTGGGATTGCCGGGTGGAGGTGGTCAAGCGCGGTGCGGTGATTAAGCGGCATGGCGGTGGTGAAAATAAGTACTGCGGTAATGGTCATATGGTGGTGGCACAAGAAAGAGTACTGTGGTGCTGGCGGTGGCAGAGCCATTGTGGCAAGAAAGTGCGCACGCGGTTATCTGGCGGCGGCTGCGGCGGAATGGAAAGTGGCGGGGCTGGCGGTGGCGGTATGCGGGTGATGCGGGAATAATAAGCGGCGGCGGCGGTGACAAGCGGCATGTGATTATGGCGACACTGTGGTGTAAAGGCGGATAGTTTTACCGTGGTGGGCGGTGGCGGGATGGCGGCGGCGAAGAGCGGTGGTGGTGGCGACAGCGCAGAAAGCGGATAAGGTACCGTATTGCGGGAAGCGGCGGCGGGTGGTGGCGCGGGGACGTGGCGGGTGGGTGGAGGCAAGCAAGATATGATGTTTATGGTAAAGGCGGCGATCGGCCGGGGCGGCAAAGGAGTCAAAGACGCAGCAGTGGGATGGTGCAGGGTGTGTGGTGGTCGGCGTTAGGCGGTGGGTGAGGTTGTGGTGGGTGGCGGAGCATTGGCAGTGGTGGTGGGAGAAGCCAACGATCAGGTAGGGCTGCGGCTGTGGTAAATCAGCGGCCTGCTGGGCCTCGCCATCGCAGACGCAGGATGGTGAGACAGTGGTGGGAGGCAGTGGGTAGCGGCAGGTCAGTGGTGCATGACAGCGGTGTTGGCGGGTCAGTGGCTGTGGTAAAGGCGGGCAGTCAGTGGTCAGGTGTGGCATGGTGGGCTGCGATGCAGGAGTGGTGGCGCAAGCAGCCAGTGGCGCTGGTGGTAAAGGCAGTCCGTGAAGGAACCGTAATGCGAAACACAGCGGTGACGGGTACGTAACAAATGATATTCTAGGTGAAAGAATGGACTATATGGTAACTGCAACATCGATCTAATGGGCAACAGCGAGCCACAGCGGAAATGTGGCCAGGCGCTAAGGCAGCCTGAAGAAAGCGCCACCTTAAAGCAGTGCTGTGGTGCTCGCGGTGGTGTGGTGGCCGGCAGCAGAGCGGCGGTGGTAAGCAGCACCGTACGGGCAGTGAAAAACACCGCTACATAAACTGTGGCAACTCAATGGCGAAACAATGCATATGCAGTGATCCCCCACCCACAAAACACCCACGCGGCGGCGGCAAAGCGGCCAAGATGCGCCCGGCAGGAGGCAAACAAACGCAGCAGTGGCGTTGTGGCGGCGCAGGCAATCGCGGCGGCGGCAGCGGCGCGAGCAAGAAACAGCGGCTCCGCAGGCGGTGGTCAGGCGCGCAGGGCAGCGGGCGTGGCGGGACTACTGGTACCACGGTGTCATGCAGGGTCGCGAAGCTGTGGTCCAAAGCGGGCGCGCAGAACGCGGCGAAACAGTAATGGGAAGCTATGAGCACTGTGATGGGAGTCACCACCGTGGTCGACAGAACGCACGCGGTGGGCGGCTGCAGCAGGCGGTGCTGCTGTGGTGGCACATCCACGGCGGCGCGAGGTGCGGAAGCTGGTGTGGTGGGTCAGCGGCAGAGTGTGGTGAACAGCCAGGAGGCGGTTGCGGAGGCGTGATGGTGGTGGGAACAGCATGGCGATGGTGAAAGGCAATGGCCGTTCCCATGGCTATGGTGGTGGTCAACAGCAACTGTGGCGGGGCGGTTGCAGTGACGATGGAGCAGCAGAGCCGTGGAAAGAGTGGTGGTAGGCTGCAGGGGCAGGCAGGCGCATTGCGGCGGCGCGGTGGCGTGAAGTCGTGGTGGGTCACAGGCAGAACGTGGTGGGGGCTGGTGGAGGTGGGACCATGCGGTGGAGGTGGCTGGGCCGGCGGTGCGGCGGTGGTGACAATGACGGCGGCGGTAGTGACGATACCCGTGGGACACGGCTGGTGGTGGTCACAACGCTGTGGTGGGGCGGCTGCAGTGGCGATGGCGTTGCAGAAAATGTGGCGTGCAGTGGTGGTGTGCTGCCGTGGTGGGGCAGAGGTGGCGGTGTCGCCGTGGGTGGGGCAGCGGTGGTGGCGATGCCGTGGCGGCGCTGCCGTGGTGAGAGCAGTGGTGGCGAACATCGCTGTGGTGAGCCAGTGGCGGTGGTGGATCAGTGGCGGTGGTGGGTCAGCGGTGGTGGTGTTGCTGCGGCGGTAGGTGGTAGGGGAGTGGTGTGGCGGTGGTGCGGCGGTGATGTTGGCGGTGGTGGATCAGTGGGCAGTAGTGTGGTGGTGGTAGGCGGCATGTGGTAAAGGCGGTGGAGGTAAAGAAAGTGGCGATGGCGGTGGTGGTGGCTGGTGGGCAGCGGCGATAAGTGGTGGTAGGTCATACCGTGTTAAAGGTGGTGTGGCGGCGGTGACGCGGTGGTGGCGGACAGTGGTAAAGAAAGTGGTTGTGGTGGGTCAGCGGCGGACAGCAGGTGGTGGGGTCAGTGGCGGATAGCGGTGGTGGTGGCAGTGGTGTGCGATGGTGGCGGGTGGTGGTGGCGCGGCAGAGTCACCAGATGGATCTGGCGGTGGAGCGCGGTGGAGAAGAAGGGCGATTTGCGCTAAAGGTGGTAAAGCAAGTTGCGGTGGTGCTGGGCGGTAAGAAAGTATTGTGGCGGGCAGTGGCTGTGGGGCATTGGTTGTGTGGCAGTGGTGGTTGCAGGCAGGATAAGTGGCCGTGTGGCTAGTGGTGGGGCTGCGAGCGCGACTGGTGGTGGTGAACAGCTGGTGGTGTGGCGGCGGTGAGAAGTGGTGTGACGGCGGTGGTGGCGGGACAGTGGTTGCGAGCAGGTGGGGCAGGTTGTGGGTCAGTGGCGGAGCAGTGGTGATGGTGTGGCAATGGCTGCGGGTCTGTGGTGGCACGGTGGCGGAGCGGTGGTGGTGGGTAAGTGGTCAGGTGGTGGCGCTGGCGTGCAAGGTTGTGCAGGGTGGTGGGGGTGGGACAGTGGTGGTGGTGGTTGGGCTAGCAGCCAGGTGGTGGTGGTGAGCAGGGTAGGCAGTGGTGAGGCAGTGGCGGTGTGGCAGTGGCTGGTGGACTGTGGTGGCGGTGGTAGTGGTGGCGGTGCAGCGGCTGTGGTGGGGCAGTGGTACACTGCGTGAGTCGGTGGCAGGTCAGGCAGTGGCGGGCGGCGGTGGTGATGGTGTGGTGGCGGTGAGGCAGGGCGACAGCACTGTGGTGGGGGTTAGTGGCCGGGGCTGTGGTGTGGCGCGGTGGAAGCAGTGGCGAGCTGTGGCGGGGTGGCGGCGACAGCGAAAGGAGCGGCGGCGGTGTAGTGGGGGCCGTGATGGTGCCAAAGCAGTGATTTGGGGCTGTGGTGGTGCTGTGCAGTGGTTGTGGTGGGTCAGCGGCGGCGCGGGTGGTGCTGTGGTAGTGGTGGCGGTAAGCAGTGGCGGAGCAGCCGTGGTGATGGACGGCGGAGGAGCGCGGTGGTGTAGTGACCGTGATGGAGCAAGGTGGTGATGCTGAAGGCGGTGGTGCCAAAGTGGTGGAGCTGGGGCGGTGCGTGGGCAGTGGCCGTGGCGGGGCATTAGCTGTGCGGCGGCGGGGCTGCAGGCAGGATGCGGCTGTGGTGTGGCTGGTGGTAGCAGGATAAGTGACTGGTGGTGGTGAAAACAGCCGCAGTGGTGTAGCGGTGGTGGTGGCGGGGAGTAGCGAAGAAGTGGTGGGGCAGTGGCTGTGGGTAAGTGACGACAGTGGTGATGGTGTGGCAGCGACGTGGTGGGTCTGTGGTGGTGGCGCACTGAAGCGCAGGAGCGCGGCGGAAGCCAGTGGTCAGTGGAGGCGCGATGGCGTGTGGGCGGTGGCGCAGTGTGGTGGTGGGGACAGTGGTGGTGGTGGTGAGCTGGGCGCAAGGTGTGGCGGTGGTGATAGCGGTGTGGTGGTGGAGCAGGCACGCTGCGGTGATGGGTAAGGTGGCTGGAGGCAGTGGCTGTGGTGGGGCAGTGGTGGGGCAGTGGCAGGTGAAGACATCATTGTGAGTCAGAGTGCAGGCAGGTCAGGGCAAAGCAGCGGTGGTGAAGGTGTGGCGGAAGGTGAGGCAGCGGCGGAGCATATCGCCGCTGGTAAACAGAGGTCAACGGGGCTATGGTCAGGCGCGGAGGTGGGGGCAGCAGTGGTGGTGGCGGGGCGTGGCGGGACATTAGTGGTGGTGGGCGCGGAGCAGAAGTGGCTGTGGTGGGGCGGTGGTGACAGTGGCGGCGGTGCAAGGAAGGTGGAGGTGGCGGGACAGAGCGGTAGCGACAGCAGTGGGCCAGGTGGTGTGGGTGGCGGCCGAGCGGTGGGTGGTGGTGGGGCAGTGGTGGTGGGACGTGGTGGCGGTGAGGTGGCGATCAGCAGTGGTGGTGGAAGCAGCGGCGATCGCGCAGGTGGGGTGGTGGTGGAGCTGTGCGACTGTGCAGCGGTGATTGCAGTGGTGGCGTCGGTGGGTTAGTGGTGGAGAGGTTGTCGTGGGGGTGGCGACAGTGAGCTGGTAGGCAGTTGCGTGGAGCAGTGGCAGCAGGGCGTGGTGTGGCTGTGGTGAAGCAGTGGCCTGGTGGGGCTGTTGTTGCCCAGCTGCAGCGATGGTGAGACAGCGGGGGGGTCAGTGGTTTGGGTGGTGGGGCAGCTGCGTGGCAGTGGGTCGCGGGGCTGGTAGGGCAGCGTGGTGGTGGCGAGGATTGTGATAGGGATACTGGTGGGCTGTGGCTGTGGTGGGTGCGGCGGAGCAGTGGTGGGCGTAGGCAAGTGGCGGACAGTGGTGGTGTTGGGTCATTGGCGAGCAGTGGCCATGGTAAGGGCGGTGGTGTTGGGTCAGTGGCGGAGCAGGCCGTGGTGTGTCAGATATCAGTGGTGGTGGTGGGCGGTGGTGAAAGCAGTGCTGGTGAGTCAACGATCACAGTGGTGGTGCGGCGGCGGGTTAATGGTGGTGGGTTAGGGTGGTGAGGCAGTGGCTGTGGTGGGGGTGGCGGCATGGTGGTGGTAAAGCGGTTATGGAAAAGAGGGCAGTGGTGCGGCGGTGTGGCGGTCAGTGGCCTGGCGGGGCTGTGGTCAGGACAGCTGCAGCGGTGGTGGGTCAGCGGTGGCGTGGCTGTGGTGAGGCAGTGGTTGTGGTGCGACAGCGGTGGTGGGGGCAGGGGTCAGGGTGGGTCAGCGGTGCTGGGGAGAAGCAGTGGTGGTGTGGCGGAGAGAGGTGGCAGGCCAGCGGCTGTGGTGGGCCGCGAATGAGCGGTATGTGATGAGTGGCCACGGCTGTGGTGGGGCAGTGGACGGTGGGGCGGTCAGTAGTGGTGGCGGCGTTGCAGAAGCTGTGGTGACAGTGGTGGTGGGGGTAACAGTGGTGTTGTGGTGGTGGATCAGTGGTTGTGGTGGACAGTGCCGTGGTGGACAGTGGTGGTAAAGGTGGCTGTGGCGGGGGTGGTGGGTCAGCGGTGCTGGTGGTGGGGCGGTGTGGCGGCAAGAGGTGGTGGTAGGCTCAGTCTGTGGTGGCTGTGGTGGCTGCGGAGATATTGTGATGGACACGGGCGGTAAGGAAGTGGCTGTGGCGGGGCGGCTGTGGTGGGGCGGCTGGTGGTGGTGGTAGTGCTGCAGCAGGCCGTGGTGGGGCCAGCAGGTGGCGTGTTGCAGGCACTTGCGGCGGCGCGGTGGTGGAAGTGGGTGCGGTGGGTCTGCGCGGCAGCAGTGCGGAAGAAAGAGTGGCGGTGACAGCAGGAGGTGGTCACAAGGCGGCATGGCGGCAGTAGTGCAGGGCGGCCGTGGGGTAAGCGGTCTGCTGGTGGCCAGCAGTGACGTGGTGGGTTGGCTGCAGTGGCGGTGGCGTTGCAGCATTGTGGCGGCGCTTTGCAGTGGTGGCGCCGCAGTGGTGGCGCGGTGGTGTGGAAGCGGTGGTAACGCGGCGGAGTGGTGGGGCAGGTGGTGGTGACAGCGGTGGAGGTGGTCACGCGGCGCGGTGTGGTGGTGGTGGTGACAGCGGCATGGCGGCAGAAAATGTGACGGCGGTCAGTGGCGATTTGACGGGCAGTGGCTGGTGGGGCGGTTGCAGTGGTGGGGCGGTTGCAATGGTGATGGTGTTGCAGTAGCTGTGGTGGGGCAGTGGTGGTGGTGGTGGGTCAGTGGCAGTAGTGTGGTGGTGGTGGGGCAGTGGCTGTGGTGGGGCAGTGGTGGTGGTGTTGCTGTGGTGGGGCAGTGGTGGTGGTGAAGCATTGGCTCTGGTGAGTCAGTGGTGGTGGTGGGTCAGTGGCGGTGGTGGGACAGCGGTGGTGATGGTGTTGCTGCGGCGGTGTTGGCAGTGGTGTGGCGGCAGTGGTGCGGCGGTGGTGATTTTGTGGTGGTGGTGGGTCTGTCGCAGTAGTGTGGTGGTGGTGGGGCAGTGGTGGAGGTGGTGGGGCGGCAGTGGTGTGGCGGCGGGGCAGTGGCGGAGCAGTGGTGGTGGTGGGTCAGAGGCAGACCAGTGGTGGTGGTGGTTGGTGGGGCAGTGGCGGAGCAGTGGTGGTGGTGGGGGGTCATTGGCTGTGTTGGGGCAATGGTGTGGCGGCGGGACAGTGGTAGCTGAGCAGTGGTGGGGACATTGGTTGTGGTCGGTCAGTGGCGGAGCAGTGGTGGTGGTGTGGCAGTGGTAGTGGTGTGGTGATGGTGGGGTAGTGGTGGTGGGTATGTGGTGGTGCTGGGGCAGTGGCGGAGCAGCTGTGGTGATGGGACGGTGGTGGGGCAGTGGCTGTGGTGGAGCGGCGGTGGTGGAGCGGCGGTGGTGTAGTGGGGCAGTGGCTGTGGTGGGGCATTGGTTGTGTGGCGGCAGTGGTGGTTATAGGTAGGACAGTGGCTGTGGTGTGGCTGTGGTGGGGTTGCGGAGCAGTGACTGGTGGTGGTGGAACAGTTGCAGTGGTGTGGCGGCGGTGGGGCAGTGGTGTGACGGCGGTGGTGGCGGAGCAGTGGTAGCGGAGCAGTGGTGGGGCAGTGGTTGTGGTGGGTCAGTGGCGGAGCAGTGGTGGTGGTGTGGCAGTGGCTGTGGTGGGTCTGTGGTGGTGGCGCATTTGCAGTGGTGGAGCGGTGGTGGTGGGTCAGTGGCTGTAGGGGGGGTCAGTGGCTGTGGTGGTGGCGCGGTGGCGTGTAAGTGGTGTGG